TCCTCCTCCTCCTCCTCCTCCTCCTGCTCCTGCCCCTCCTCCACCTCCTCCTCCCCCTCCTCCTCCTGGTGGGCCACGGGACGCTCCCCCGCAGCGAGCCTCCCACGGGCTCTCCCCCCCTGGAGCCCTCCGGGGCGCCGAGGCGGCCCGAGCAGGCGGCGCGAGGCAGTGTGGCCTGCGCGGGGCGGGCCCCGCGGCGAGGCAGGCCGCCCGCTGCCCCGGGCGGGCCGCGGCTCGCTGCCCCGCGGGGGGGCGCCTCGGCCGATGCCCTGCGGGCCGCCTGCGGCCCCGCCAGGCCGTCGGGCGCAGAGAGGCCGCCAGCGAGGGGACGCCGGCAAACGCGCGCGCTCCGCGGCTCGCAGAGGAGCTACTCGCAGAGGGCCTGGACCCGCCGCCGCGGGGGGGGGGGGGGCACGATGCATGACATCGGGGCAAGCGTGTGTGAGCGTGTTGGGGAAGGGAAGGCGTGCGTGGTTGTGCGTGGTTGTGCGTGTGTGTGTGTGTGCCTGCGTGTGTGTGTGTGTGTGTATGCGAGTCCTGACGTTTGCGAGTAGGCACTTTGCGAGTAGTGGAACGCGCTCGGTGAGTCAGGGGGGGCCGCGACCACAAGATCTCGACCCGCCAGGGATGACGCCACTGCGGATCTAAAGATCGCCAGGGGCACAAAATGGAATGCCGTGCGAGCCGACCTGCAGTAGGCAAGCTCACGCGGTGACAATCTAGCCTGAGGTATAAAGCGGGCCTGCTGTAAATACTTCCACGGAGGAAGGAGGGGACGTTAGGGGGTGACTGGCTCGGAGGGGAGGTGGAGGGACGGGGGGGGGGACCATCGGCCTGGAATCGGCGATACATCGCGGATAGATCGGCGATACAGTCGGGGCCCGACCACAAGAAACCTTCCACAAGAAACCCAACCCTGAGACCCCAGGACGTCCATCGATTTTTGGTGTGGGAACGTCGCGCTTTCTATACCAAAACCATCGACACCCAAGAAACACAGGGCACCCTCGAGGCAAGCAGAGTGTTTATTGGCATGGGCCTCCACTGTAGGCCCCCGATGGCAGATCCGCACGGTCATGGGCGGGGTGCGCCATCGGGCCCCTATCGGCGATGAATGGGCGCCTGGGGACCTTGGTCGATCCCCCCCTAAGGCTACCCCTGAGGCTGGGAGCGAGGGGACGTGTGCGTGCGCTCTCGTGGACGCCCGAACCTGGCAGCGGCCGCACTCGCACTGCGCTTCGGAGCGCAGGCGTGTGCAGGGTGCGTGCCGCTTGCCGTGCGCCGTCGCGGCGCCCACCTTCCTGGGCGCGACGCAAAAGTACGAGGCGCGCACCCAAGACGAAGAGCCTCCAAGGTGGAAAGCCTAACCACTGAGGGCATCCGAGTACCCCTCCAAGGCTAGGACTGTACTTAACCCTCGTGCCAGCTGTAATCCAGCCCGCTTGGCGGCTCAGGGAGGCCCTGGAGAACCCCCATGCGCTTCTCAACACAAGGGCGCGGGCGACGTCTCGCCACGAGGCGCTGGCGCGCCCGCGCCCAAAGGACTCCTCGCAGTGCAGTGCCGCCCACTGCCTCTCGATCCGGGGTGGCTGGAGCGCCCGAGGCTAACCGCCAGGCCGCCTCCCTGAAGCGCCCGAGGGTGCCGGCCAGGGCGCTTCCTTGGAGCGCCAGGGCACACCCGAAGGTACAAGCCAGGACGCCTCCCTGGGGCGCCCGAAGGGCGCCCGCCAGGACGCTGCCCAGGCCTAGGGGCGTCGCCCAGGCCTGGCCCGACCCCCTCTGCCCCCTGCGCCGCCCGCCGCCCTCTGCCTGAGGCCCCGCCCTCGCCCTGCACTGGCCTCTGCCCTCGCCCCGGCCGCCCTGCCCCCAGCCCGCTGGCCTCTGCCCTCTGCCCCTGCGCTGGCCTCTGGCCTCTGGCCCTCTGCCCTCTGCCCTCCGCCCTCTGCCCTCTGCCCTCTGCCCTCTGCCCCTGCGCTGCCCGTCCTCCGCCGCCCTGCCCTCGGCCGTGCCCCGCCCCAGCCCTGCGGCGCCCTGCCCCCCCGCGGGCGCGGGCCTCTGCAGAAGGCTCCGGCGGCCGCGGCTGGGCCCACGCGGGGTGACGGCACCCCCGCGGCGCACTGTACGCCTGCCGGCGCAGAGCTCGAGGAGGAGCAGGCGGCGAAAGAGGGGGAGGAGGAGGAGGAGGAGGAGGAGGAGGAGGAGGAGGAGGAGGAGGAGGAGGAGGAGGAGGAGGACGACGAAGAGGAGGAGGAGGAGGAGGAGGACGAGGAGGACGATGACGACGGCGGACGACGACGACGACGACGACGACGACGACGACGACGACGACGACGACGACGACGACGACGACGACGACGACGACGACGACGACGGACACGACGACGACGACGACGACGACGACGACGACGACGAAGACGACGACGACGACGACGAAGACGGGAAGGGAAGAGGAAGCGGGAGCAGGATCGGCAGCAGCAGGAACCGAGTGGGCAACAGCAGCAGGAACAGGAGTAGCAGGAGCAGAAGCAGATGGACCAGGAGCACGGGCAGGGGCAGGCGACGACGACGACGACGACGATGACGACGACGACAACAACGACAACGACCACGACCACGACCACGACCACGACCACGACCACGACCACGACCACGACCACGACCACGACCACGACGACCCTGACGACGATCACGACGACGACGACGACGACGACGACGACGACGACGACGACGACGACCACGACGACGACGACGACGACGACGACGACGACGACGACGACGACAACAATAAGCAAGAAGGAAAGGATTGGACATGGTACGGTACAGTACGTTGCGCTCTGGACGGTGGGTATGACAGGGCAGGGCAAAGCAAGAGAAAGGAGGAGGAGGAGGAGGAGGAGGAGGACGGGGAAGGGGAGTGGCCAGCGCTTCGGTGCAGAGCACCACTCCGAGTCTGGAATGCGGCTGTCGAATCCCGCGAAACCGCCCCTTCCACTCCAGAAGGTGGCCCGCGTTACGGCTACAGCATCCTCCCCAATTAGGGCCATGTGCTACCAGTCTTTTGTTCGCCAATGGCTCGCCCACTGAGTTCTGCGTCGCGTCCTAAGCCTGAGACCCTGGCACTACCCCGCGGGACCAAATGGGCCCGCGTCGCGCATGCCAGTTACACTTGCAAATTGGGTTTTGCGGGTTGCGCCCGTCTAGTAAAAGCAGAGCGGTAAAGCAGCACAGAGGAACAGAGTACAGATGGCGGTGCTCGCCGCGGCACTGCATCAGACCAACCCAGCCATTCACCCAGAAAGCTTCCACTCGTCCGTATAGACATACATATGTACTGCAAAGGCCCCCAATCACACCGAACACCCCCCCAAAGGGGCGCGACAACAGCTTCGACAAGCCCCTCACCATGGAGGAAGGCATGCACGAACTGGAAGACGGGCCCTACGGGCCCGCCACCTGCATCGGCAGAACACGGCAGCTGGAGCCAGGAGACGCGAGCGAAGCACAGCAACCCGTGGTACGAGACACACCGATGTTCGAAACTGCGAGCTCACGCCACGAAACTCAGAGATGTGTTTTGCCTTCATTAAGTGTTTCACGGGCTCCTACACGAATCAAACTACCACCCCCTGGATTAAAAAGTCCGGATCGGCACTGCAGGCCCCCTTGCATCGTCGCTCCCCGAGAGGTAAACATGACTGGGAAGAAGTACCAAGCAGAATCGCAACTTCCAAGCAACAGAACTGGGACCCGAAATCTATTTGCGAGGAAGTCCCAAGCGAAATCGCCAATTTCCGGTCGCCACCGAGAATTTCCGGTCGCCTGAAAAGCGTCCGGAATTTTTTGTTGGAGGTAGTATGAGGCGGAATGCGGATTTCCGGCCGTCACCCCATTTGGCGATTATAATATCAGAGGGGGTGAGGATGGACCAGAAATTTAACCATGGCGGCCCCTGCAACATTGTACCGGGGCCCCGTGGCCTAACGGGAGCCGAACATCAAGGCTTATTCCCCGACCTCTGCGGTCCGGATTTTTTACTCCAGGGGGTTGTAGCTTTGCTCGCTGACTCTGCACGCGCGCGCATGGGGCCCCCATGATTCCCCCAGACAGCGCTTGCGCTTAAAGAGGCTCTCGCTTCCCTCTCCGGGCCTGGGCCCTGCCGCCGCCTCGGCCGGCCCTTCGCCGCCCCTCGCCGCCGCCGCCGCCGCCGCCCCACAGCGGTCACGACTTCGAGCACCGTCGGGGCGCTGACCTAAGGAACCCTAAATGAGGAACGAGGCCCCTTTTTCCCACAAGTTAAACTTCGATTTCCTATCGAAAACATAAGGAAACCCTGAGGCAAGCTGCGAAACACTTGAGGAACGCGGAGCCCCTCCCCAACGAAAAGGGTTCCTTCTTCAGGGCCTCGACTGTACGCGAGGCTCGCACCATTCGTGCCGGGCGAAAGGGGGGGGATAGCACAGGGGGGGGGTGAGAATCAGCTCACGTAGCTGACTTCCCCAGCGCCTCCCGGCGCCAGGGGCGGTCATGTCTCGAGGCATGGGCCCCTCGGCGGGGCCAAAACCAGCTGCGCGCAGCAGATTTCGTAACCCCCCCTTCCCCAATCCCCACCTTTCGTCCGGCTCGCACCATCAAGGGCTCCCAACTTCGCGCTTCGCGCTGCGCGAAGCGCGAAGTGCGAATAACTTCGCGCCCTCGCGCCGCCTCCCAGGGGAGAAGGGAAGGATGAGGAAAGATCGGAGCCGAGCCGCGAACCGCGAAGCGCGAATAACTTCGCGCCCTCGAGGGCGCCCTTGCGCACCATGGAGATCGCGACCAAACGGCGCCTCCACCCGTCGCCGGCAGCCGCCGCCGCCCCGCCCTGGGCCCGACGGTCGGCCCAGCCAGCTCGCGGCCGCCCGCCGCCGCGCCTCGCCGACGGTGGCCGCCGCCTCGCCGCCCCACGCTGTCTGCAGTCTTGAGCGTGCGAGCCTCGCAGATTCTCCTCTCCAGGGAAAAAATTGGGGGGACGTAAGACCCGGGTACGGGGGACTCGGAAATCCCCGACGAGGTCGTCAAAAAAATGACGAGGCCGAGCCTGCATTTTGACGAGGCCTCCCGCTGCAGACATCCCACGAAACTCCTCCTCGTCAAAATCCCAGGCGCGGTCGTCAAAAAACGATGGCGAACCCGAGTCCCGGCAAACCCGGGTCTTACGCTCCCCCGAAAAAAGGATCTACCGCCACCCCCCGCGCAGCTGTCGGCACGCCGTGGGATAGCGCAATGTGCACCCGATTTGGGCCCCTCGCTCATGTCAGATTCCAGCCCATACCATCCCAGCTAGACCTGCTATCGTCCCCCCCCCCCCGCCCCTGACAAATTCGCCAGCCCAACGGGCCAGAGGCGTGCTAAGAGCTCCGGCAACAGGTGAACAGTATTTCTAGTTCGCGCGCGCGCAGCGGCCCCTGGGGAACCCTGGACGACAAGTTGCCTGGGTGATGCCGGGGCGATGCCTGGGCGATGCCCTGGCGATGCCCAGCTGACTCTCCGAAGGCGCTCCAGGAGCGCGCCAAGAGGGCGCCAGGACGCCCCCCTAGGCCCCGAGTCGCCGAAAGATCGCTCCAAGACGCTCAAGATGATCTCCAGATGGCCCCAGAGGCCGCGAAAACGCCCCAAGGGAGCCTCAAGAGGCCCTCCAAGAGGGCCCATCAAGCAAAAATCGTCCCATTCCCTCCGGAAAACGTGCATTTTTCCGCGTGTGCGACGTTTGGGGGTTCACAGCGTCCAGAACTGCCCCAGAGGCCTCCAACATCGCCCCCAGACGGCCCAACACGCCCCCAAGACGGGCCCAAAAGAGCCCCAGAAGGCCCCAAGAGGGCACCAAGACGGCCCCAAGAGGAGCCCAAGAAGGGGACCAGGAACCGAAAAGTTTCCAAAGAGGCCACAAGAGGCCCCAACACGGCGCCCAAGAGGCCTGAAAACTGCGCCCGAGAGGCCAACCACGAGAGCCCAACCAACACCCATGAGGCCTCTGACTCACCACCCAGGCACGGCGAAGTGTTCCCACCGCCGCCAAAAAATTACGCTACCGAGGAACCCCACATACTTGATTTAAATCTTATGTGTTTGCATAAGTTTACAATGTATGCGCAACTCTGCGTTCTGAGCCCTCGTCGCGAATGTTCCCCTATGTGTCATCCAACGCCATATTGCTTGAACCTCCTCCGTCTTCCTAGCCTTCTATACTCCATCGAGGACATATTCGAGCCAGCCAGCGTCCGCGGTGAGGGACCACCCCCTGCGCACCCTCTATGGCGTCGAGAAAGTGCCACGCCTGCTATGCCCTGGACGACCGTCGTGCATAGCGGCCGCGCTGAGGGACCACCCCCTGCGCAGCCTCTATGGTGTCGAGAACATGCCACGCCTGCTATGCCCTGGACGACCGTCGTGCATAGCGGCCGCGGTGAGGGACCACCCCCTGCGCACCCCCTATGGCGTCGAGAAAGTGACACGCCTGCTATGCCCTGGACGACCGACGTGCATAGCGGCCGCGCTGAGGGACAACCCTCTGCGCACCCCCTGTGGTGTCGAAAAAGTGCCACTCCTGCCACGATCTGCGAGCGCGTCACGGATAGAGGCCGCGCTGAGGGACCACCCTCTGCGCACCCCCTGTGGTGTCGAAAAAGTGCCACTCCTGCCACGATCTGCGAGCGTGTCACGGATAGAGGCCGCGCTGAGGGACCACCCTCTGCGCACCCCCTGTAATGTCGAGAAGGTGCCACTCCTGCCACGATCTGCGAGCGTGTCACGGATAGAGGCAGCGCTGAGGGACAACCCTCTGCGCACCCCCTGTGGTGTCGAGAAAGTGCCACTCCTGCCACGATCTGCGAGCGTGTCACGGATAGAGGCTGCGCTGAGGGACCACCCTCTGCGCACCCCCTGGTCGTGTCGAGAAAGTGCCACTCCTGCCACGATCTGCGAGCGTGTCACGGATAGAGGCCGCGCTGAGGGACCACCCTCTGCGCACCCCTGTGGTGTCGAGAAAGTGCCACTCCTGCCACGATCTGCGAGCGTGTCACGGATAGAGGCCGCGCTGAGGGACCACCCTCTGCGCACCCCCTGTGGTGTCGAGAAAGTGCCACTCCTGCCACGATCTGCGAGCCACTCCTGCCACGATCTGCGAGCGTGTCACGGATAGAGGCCGCGCTGAGGGACCACCCTCTGTGCACCCCCTGTGGTGTCGAGAAAGTGCCACTCCTGCCACGATCTGCGAGCGTGTCACGGATAGAGCCGCGCTGAGGGACCACCCTCTGCGCACCCCCTGTGGTGTCGAGAAAGTGCCACTCCTGCCACGATCTGCGAGCGTGTCACGGATAGAGGCCGCGCTGAGGGACCACCCTCTGAGCACCCCCTGTGGTGTCGAGAAAGTGCCACTCCTGCCACGATCTGCGAGCGTGTCACGGATAGAGGCCGCGCTGAGGGACCACCACTCTGCGCGCACCCCCTGTGGTGTCGAGAAAGTGCCACTCCTGCCACGATCTGCGAGCGTGTCACGGATAGAGGCCGCGCTGAGGGACCACCCTCTGCGCACCCCCTGTGGTGTCGAGAAAGTGCCACTCCTGCCACGATCTGCGAGCGTGTCACGGATAGAGGCCGCGCTGAGGGACCACCCTCTGCGCACCCCCTGCGGTGTCGAGAAAGTGCCACTCCTGCCACGATCTGCGAGCGTGTCACGGATAGAGGCCGCGCTGAGGGACAACCCTATGCGCACCCCATGTGGTGTCGAGAAAGTGCCACTCCTGCCACGTGTCACGGATAGAGGCCGCGCTGAGGAACCACCCTCTGCGCACCCCCTGTGGTGTCGAGAAAGTGCCACTCCTGCCACGATCTGCCTGTGCTGTCTGTGCTGCGGTGTGCTGTGCTGTGCTGTGCTGTGCCGTGCTGCGTGCTGTGCTGAGCTGTGCTGTGCTGTGCTGTGCTGTGCTGAGCTGAGCTGAGCTGTGCCGTGCTGTGTTGTGCTGTGCTGTGGGTGAGGGAGGAAGGAGGAGAAAGGGGGAGGAGGGGAGGAGGTGAGACGCGGGTGCGGCGCGGCAGTGAAGAAAACCAGAACCCCACCAAGCATGTGGGGAATATCAGCCGCCCAGCTCCACCACGTCGACAACAACACGCCGACAACCGACAGCGGGCAGGCAATATGTGCCGGCGGAATCAACGAAGCGATTATATAATATTATGCGCGTGCATTCGCTGATCAAGAAATCAGACGAAATTGACAGGCGCGCGTCGTCGCACGCGCATGCCGCAGCAAGCATGTCGAAATCATTCGAACGTCATTGCGCTATTGCTGGGGGGGGGCATGACCCTTGTCAAATCCGCCACGGTGCCGATGGGCATGGAGCGGGCGTGTCCTCAAGTCATTTGCCCAATCCTCTACGCCTCAATCCTCACCCCAGAGGAGTCTTTAAGGGGACTAGAGCCCCAAATCTTTTGTGGTTCATCGCGATTACCGCGGTTTGTCGCATGACGTTTTGGGGCCGGAAAAGGTTCCAAGACAGGCCAAGAAAGCCCCAAGAAATCCTTAAGATGGTCCAACAGTGCTCCGAGTCGCCGAAAGATCGCTCCAACACGCCCAAGACGGCCCCACGACGATCCAAGAGGCTTCCCCGACACACCCACAGGCCTGCAAGAGGCCTCGCGAGAAAGACCGCAAGAGACCATAATAATTGATTCTCTGATGGGTTGTTGAAAGATTGGAGCATTGCCACCTTTTTCTGGTTCCCGACGCTCATAGAGGGCCACGTGGCCCCAACATCGCTCCAACACGGCCCCAAGACGGCCCAAGAGGGACCCAAGACGGCCGAAGAGGCGCTCACGACGGCCCAAGAGGCAATGACGGCCCCAAGAGGGGGCCTTGATGGGAAACCCGAAGGGAGATTTCGAGCCCTCGGCCTCGAAGGGTGCCCAGGAGGCCCCAAGAGGCCCCCAAGAAGCCCCCAAGAGGCCCCAAGAGGCCCCCAAGAGGCCCCAAAAGGCCCCCAAGAGCCCCCCAAGAGGCCCCCAAGAGGCCCCAATGCTGCTCCCACGAGGCCCCCGACAGCGTTCCGAAGAGACCCGGAGAAACACCGATGAGAACTCTGACCCGCAACCCACGCACCGTGGCGGGAGGGCCGACAGCCATTAGATAACACCATGCGGGCCACTCGGGCCCGTCGGCCGCGCGGGCATGTCGAAATCCTTACAAAAACATTCATCACCGACACGTGGACACCATCATCGCCATCAGCGTCATCTGCATCGGCGCCGTCATTGGCATTGCAGTCGTCATCGTCATCACCGTCACCAGCATCGCTACTATCATCATCGCGTCTGCCGGTGCCGACGTCGCCATGACACTGCGCCCGCCAGTCGGGCCGCGGCCGCGTCGGTCGCACCAGACTAGCTGGCCGCTCTGCGTGCGAGCCTGCGCGCGCTAGCGCAGCCGCAACCATGCGCCAACCAGCGCCGAGCAGTCATCGCAATCGCCACCGCATGGGTTTTGCAAACCCAACTGCGTGTGTGTGTGTGTGTGATGATTGCGCGAGCCTGGGGTCACGCGCGAGGAAGTCAAAGTCAATTCTGCTTTCAAAGGGAGGATTCGGACCTACCACCACCACCACCACCACCACCACCACCACCCCAAGATTGTCCGCCCACCTTTTGGAATTGCAAGTTACGTACGACTCTGACCCATCGCTCATTCTTAACATGAGTCGACGCCCCCCTCAATCACGCCAACCAACCAACCACGCCAATATCGATGACCCCCTTTTAACCATTGCAAAACATGCTATGCGCGCAGACTCGCTTATCAAAAATCATCCATGTTCGCAAACCTTTTGGCTATATATTATCCAGAAAGGTTTGCCCTATAGGAGTTCGAACTCAAACCCTACTAATTGGTCCGTTGCCCCAA